GCACGTGTTCGGCTGTTATGGCTGCTGAAAGGGGAGCAGGTCCCTTCAATGGTAGAGATTGCTAAGCACTTATACAGAGACCTTGTAACTCTAGTTCTTGGGTATCTGACACCTTCTTCTGACCTTCATGAACATCAAGTGTGAACATGGTGTAATACATACATGCAGGCAGAAATACTTATAAAATGAATGAACCTAATACCTTTTTTTTTTTTTTTTTTTTTTTTTTTTTTTTTTTTTTCGGGGTTTTTTGTGTGGCTTTTGGGAGCTTTGGAGCCTATCCTGGAACTCGCTCTGGAGACCTGGCTGGCCTCGAACTCAGAGATCCGCCTGCCTCTGCCTCCCGAGTTCTGGGATTAAAGGCGTGTGCTACCAACACCTGGCTAAAATATTTTTAAGATTTCTTTCTTTCTGTGTCTCTAAGTGTTTTGTCAGTCTGTGTACCCTGTACATGCAATGCTGACAAAAGCCAGAAGAGGGCTGCTCTGTGGGTGTTGGGAATTGAACCACTAAGTTCCCACCTATTTTGATCACTTTTTAAATGTACAGTATTGTAGTATCAGCTATACACCTTGCATGTACAGAAGGTTTGTAACTTTTGCCTACTGCTGAACTGAAACTCGAGACCCATTAAATAACCCAGTTTCTTCCTTTCAGCCACAGGAAAGCACTCCATTTTCTGTTTCTGTTAATTGTATTACTTGACTGCCTGTTTTAATTGGGAAGGTTGGGGTGTTTAAGGAGTAGAGAAACAGACTAACATGTGCAAGGTCCTAGGTTCAATTCCCAAGACTGGGAAGGGGGGGAGGGGGTATTTTACTTCTATACCAGATTTTTTCTTTTTCTTTTGGCCATCAACCAGCTCCCAAATCATGACACAGATGTATTATTAGTTTTGAATACTGGACCTAGCTAAGGCTAGTTTCTAGCTAGCTCTTTAACTTAAATTAACCTATTCTCTTTATCTGCCTGTTGCCTCGGGGCTTTTTACCTTTCCTGCTCCTGGATATCTTACTTTCACTGCTTCTGTATGGCTGGCTGGCATCTGGATGGCTTCTTGCCCTGGGCTTGTCCCTTGTCTCTCCCTTTCTCTCATTCTTCTCTTCTCTCGATCCTAAATTTCTCCTATTCTCTCTGCCTGCCAGCCCCATGTATCCTTTCTCTGCCCAGCTATTGGCTGTTATTATTAGCTCCTTATTAGACCAATCAGTCAGGCATAGTGAAACAAATGCAACACATCTTTTCATAATTAAACAATGCAGCATAAACAAAAGTAACACATCTTTGCCTAGTAAAATAATATTCTACAACACCCCCGTAAGGAGTTTCAAACCAGCTGGCCCCAAGGCCCAAATTTCTGCAGAACACAACCTTGAAATTCCATAAAAGGATAATATAATGTTGCATTTTAGGCCCTCTGTTTAAAAAAAAAAAAAAGTGGACATCTGTGCGTTTGAAGCCATCCCAGTCTACATGTGAGTTCCAGGACAGCCAAGCTACATAGTGAGATCCTGTCTCAGAAACAAAACAAGAGAGATAGTTGAGATGGTAGGTACTGGTAATCCTAGCATTTGGGTGACAGAGTTCAAGTTGTTTTTATATGTTGAGCTTTAGGTTAGCCTGGGCTACATGAGATCCTGTATCCCCCCCCCAAAAAAAAAACTCAGAAAGTTTTGAAGTCTAGTATTGAGCTCCTTATATAGCTCAAGTTAGCTCTATACTCTCTTCCTGCTTCAGCCAAATGGCAGGATTGTAGGTATGTATGTGCCACCACACTAGGCTGTGATACACACTTTTTCTTTTGGGGGGGTTTGGTTTCGAGACAGGGTTTCTCTGTAGCTTTGGAGCCTGTCCTTGAACTTACAAACTCACAGAGATCTGCCTGCCTCTGCCTCCCGAGTGCTGGGATTAAAGGTGTGAACCAATACCCAACCCTGAGACAAACTTTTGCCATGGTAACTTTTACCTTTTATTCAAACTTGAAAATCATTTACAAATGAAATATGGCCAGTCGGTGGTGGTGCACACCTTTAATCTGGGGGGGGGGGGGATATGTGTTCAATTTTTTGTTTTGTTTTTATTCAGCTAGGGGGCATACATCTTTAATCTCTGTTCTCAGGAGGTAGAGGTGGGCAGCTTTCTGACTGACTTCTAGGCCCAGCCAGCACTATAAATTAAGATCCTGCCTCAAAAACAAAACAGAAAACCAAAATGTGTTCTTTTCTGGCTGGAGAGATAGCTCAGTGGTTAAGAGCACAGGCTGCTCTTGCAGAGGTCCTGGGTTCAGTTCTCAGCACCCACATGGCAGCTCATGTAAGACCCTCAGAAAGCTGAGGCTTCCAGAATCTTAGCCCAGGACGGCGGCCACCCCAAACACAGAATGGAGGCGAAAGCTTGATGCAAACTGCATGAGGCTTTATTGTAATTTAACGAGCTAACCCCATGTTAGCTCGGGTCTTTCACACACCCGCCATGGTGGATGGCCAGAAAGATGGCTCCTTGGGTCTCCCAAAAGATCTTATAGGGCAGCATAAGGGGAGTGTCTAGGGGTACGCACAGGCTTACGCACAGGCTCACGATTGGTGTGCTTCCAGGCTTGGAGGGCTTGCCCTGTGTTGATTGGTCAACTGGTTGTTATGGCCCATAGGCCCTCCCAGGGTGGTTGCTATGCTCTCTATGTCATTGTCGTGCGCTTGTCCGTAAAGCACACCCAGGGTCGTAAAGCATAGCGCCACCAGCTAACTTCTGATTGGTTCCTTGTCACAAGACAGGCATCTGACCTCTAAGTGACCAAGGCAGGTATATGGCAAGCACGTGTTCGGCTGTTATGGCTGCCAAAAGGTAAGCCGGTTCCTTCACTCACAACTGTATCTCTAGTTCCAGGGGATCTGATGCCTCTAACCATTGCATGCACATGGTGCATTTGCACATACTCAGGCACACACGTAAATATATATTTATATTAAAACTTTCTAAAATGTGTATCTTCTGAAATCTAAAACTATATTTTGTGGGCCAAACTGACCTCAAACTCAATATAAAGCCAAGGCTAACTTGGAACACCTGTCACCCCTGCCTGTACCATTATAGGCAAGTGTAATCACACTTATTTTGTTTGGTGCTAAGGATTGGACCTATAGATTTGTATGTGAGGCAAGTCCTCTACATCCACAGCCCAAAGGCAATGTAGAAATGTAGAAGCACTTTTTTTTTTTTTTTTTTTGAGGCAGAGTCCCATGTATCTCAGGCTTGACCATTACTCCCTCAGTAACTGAAGGTGTCCATCAACAATGCCAAGCAAGCTTTCTTACAGAGGTACATGCCACCTCTTTGTTTTGAATTGCTGCTAAGTAATGTCTACCACCAAAGTCATTTTCATTTAGTCCAGTAGTTAACAGCTAGAGATTCTGTGTCCCAGCAGACATTGTCATTGTCTGTAGACATGCTTGATTGTCCTAACTGGGAAGTGTATGCTATGGCTTAGGATCTAGGCAGAAATTAAGGATATTCAGCATTGTCCAGTGTAGAAGATAGCCAGCCCCTCATCACTAACATTCAAAATACCCATAGCAGCACAGTTTAGGAAACTTGTCGTTCTGAGAACCCTGGTGTTTCTCTTGGCTGTTACCAGGGGTCTCCACTGAAACTGAAAAGATGGAAGTATGTACATGCCCTGGGTTCTTGCCCTAGCTCTTCCAAGAAGAGGGGAAGGGGGGTCTCCTAACCCACTTGGCCAGGAATAACAGTGCATGGCTACAGTCCCAGCACTTGTGGGGGAGGGCAGAATGATCACAAGTTCAAGACCAGTCAGGTCTATGTAAGCAGATTCCAGGCCAGCAGGGCTACGAGTTGAAACCCTGTCTCAAAACAATAAAAACTGTGTATGGTGACTCATGCTTGTCATCCCAGCTACTTGAGAGGATAAAACAGAGGCTGACAATTTAAAGTTGCAGCCTAGGCAACTAATTTAGACTCTGTCTTAAAAAGGAAGAGGACCAGGGATGTAACTTGGCACTAGAATGCTTGACCAGCATGTGTAAGGTCCTAGGCTTTATACCCAGTACCACAAAAATAAAAACCCATACACACAGTGGACACCTTAATGAAAGCAATGGTCCTGCCATTTTTTATTTTTATAGTAATACAATTTTCAAAAGAAAATTATACATTTTAAGTTCTGATCAGAAGTTCTTTTTACATTTGAACAATAAAAGAATGAATCTCTTAGAACTTAAAAATACCTTCAATTCGTGAGCATACAAATTATCATATAATAAACATTCAAAAAGAGTAAGCTCACTTTAAAATAAAACATAATACCCAGTAACAGTAGGGAACCAACATTACCATAGTCAGGTGGCCTTAGGAGCACTAACTCTTTACCACTGATCTGCAATCAATCCATTTTCCATGCAGTTTAGAACTGAGTTTTAGAATCATTGGAGTATCACTGAATTTCTTTCCTTGATAAAGTTGTAACATAAGG